GAAGGTTTTGGTTGAATGAGTCTATATATTGGTCCCTATGCAGGTCTAACTGGCAAGTAGGTTATCTGTGGTGACTCAGCACCCATGGAAGGGCAATATGGTAAGGCAGAAAGTAAACACAAGAGGAAAACCACAACCTGCTGTCAGCCTCACAAAGCCTTGCATTTACAGAAGTAGCAATGGCCATCACAACAGCATCACAGAAGACATTCCTGCTAGACTCAAGCTCTGGACATGGGAAGGGATGTCCTCAGGCAAGGGAGCTCCTGGCATCTACAGTTGTCTCCTGAGGTGCTGCTGGCTGGAGGCTCCTTGTATATCAGCAAGGGCATGGTTGGAGATGTGTTCCAAAGACCACCAGCAACAGAGAGAGGCATGCTCCTTTGTGGAGACCAGGTCAGCAGAAGAACAGCACGGGCCCTCTCTCTCTTAACTTATTCATCTAAACTGCACCATGAGAGAGAGCAACGCTCTACTGGGAAACACCAATGTGTGTCAGGCACTGCTCTGGAAAAAGGCTGTAAACACCAAAGGCTACAAAAAGAAATTAAAATTCTAGGAATCCTAAATTCCTATCTTAGATGATACAAAAGAAATGATTACTAAGCAGGGTACAAAATATACAGAAAGCAGTAGAGATATGGAAAACAATAATGAATTCCATGAGCATAAAAATAGTCTAAAGCGTTATTTTATTTCTTTCTAATCCTAAAATGATAACCTCTCTTCGAACGGCCTTAGGGTACTGGTACAATTGAAATGTTAACAGAAAATAATAAACCATATTTGGAGACAGAGAAAAGCTGAACCTAAAGTTGCTATAATAACAACAAACTGTCACAAGGGCAGGATGAGTTCTAATTTTTAATTTTGCTTTCAAGTACAAAGGAATCCAATAATAATAAGTGAGGGGTTTCGGCCATATAGATAAATATAAAAAGAGTCTTGAGAAATATGTCTGAGGCTGCAAACTGTGGCCATTAATTAAATATAGAAAGAAAAGAGTTTCAGTTTTTATGTGTCCTTTGATACCCAAAATGTAACTAAACATGTAGCAAATAGAGGATTGGTGACAGGCTGGCCCAGGACAAGAGGGAGAGAAAAAAGCCGGAGGGCAGACTGGAGAGACAGGCTGCTTTCTCCCACTTTAGTTAGATTGTCTGACTTTGTTTTTCCATCATAGATTTCATTTGTCTCAGTCTCAGAAATAATATTAAAATGACCAATATCTCCCCTTTACTCACGCCTCTCTCCTTTTACCTTTCCTGAAAGTGTCGTACCTACGTGGTCCTGGGTAACTTTGATCCTGCTGCCTCAGCGCCCCAAATTCAGGATCACTTACCTGCGCCATGTGGGTTATTGAAATGGTTTATTTTTATCCCTTCAAAAGCGCTAACCCCTATACTAGGTTCAGGAGTCTGAATTGTTGGGCTTCAACTGGCAGCAGGAAAGAACAATTCCTTCTGCAAGTGCTCCGTGTCAGGATGGACTGCAGCTACCCTCTCTGGGGCCGCGGTCATCGCTCTGACTGTTTCTCTGAGCTCCATGACACTCAAGCTTGAGGGTACTGATGCAACTGTACTAAGACTCTCTCCAGGTTCACTTCAGACTTCAGTTTACATGAACACTCTTCTCCGAGAAGACATTATTTTTTTTACTTTAATTCTATTCTATGCCTTTGTGAAGCAGATATTACAAACAAAAGTGACTCTTCTGAAGATGCACAGAAACAGCAATCCTGGCCAGGCATGGTGGCTTATGTCTTTTAATTTCAGGACTCAGGAGGCAGAGGCAGGTGGATCTCTAAGTTACAGGGTAGCTTGTTCTACAGAGTGAGTTTCAAGCCAACCAGAAATACACAGGGCAATTGTATCTCAAAAAAAAAAAAAAAACAGCAATAATGATCTGTTAAAAAATATGAACTGTAAAAGTCCAAGTTCATAAGACTTTAAAAATCAGCAAACAAACATATCCTGATAATGAGACACTACCTCACTGAAGTTTCAAAACTCAAAATTCTATACTTAGGTATAAGCTTTTGCCCCATGTCAAGACAGGCATCACAGTCAAACAAACAAATGTATTGCAGAAGCAGTCTTGAATAATGAAATTTTACTCCAATATGTGGTTTTGAAAGGCATGCAAATACAAATATTAAAATACTAATACAAAGGTAAGTTCAAAACCAGATTCCCAGAAATAGACATCCTTGGTCTCCATGGAGTCTAGCACAATACATTCATTCATTTTTTGACAGCAGGTGCCTGGCATAGTACACTGAGGAAATGAGAAGACAACTTCTGAGAATCAGCTCTGTCCTTCCAACATGTGGGCCTTGGGGATAAAGTTCAGGTTGTTAGGGTGGACCCGGGGCATATTTATATGCTGAGCCACCAGTCCAGAACAAAGATGTGTTACAAAGACAAATGCCAAATTGTTGCAGATGATGCAAAGTTATGCTAAGCACCAATGTGATGGGGAAGGAGCATCTCATTCCATTAGCTGCCACCAAGACAAAACAAACCTACCTGTCAATCACTCTGACTATGCTCCACTGTCCTCATAGCCATCTTGTGTTTAGTACCTTAACTTCACATCCGTTTCTTAGTTCTTTTCATATTTACACTAAATTTAATATTTAAACTTATAAGGTTGTTGTAGAATATTATTTTAAGCTGTGTTACATTTGTTTATGCTTTGGAACATTTGTTTAATGATGCAAAGATGTGTTGCATTATTTTCTTTGCATTTGTTTAACTCTGAGAAGCTGTGTTATTTTGCCTACCTAAAACACCTGATTGGTCTAATAAAGAGCTGAATGGTTAATAGCAAAGCAAGAGAAAGGATGGGTAGGGCTTGCAGGCAGAAAGAATAAATAGGGGGAAAAATCTTGGAAGAGGGGATCAAGGAGCAAGAGAAGGAGGAGGAGAAAGGACACCAGGGGCCACCCACCCAGTTATATAGCCAACCACAGAGTAAAAAGTAAAGAAAGGTATACAGAAATAAATAAAGATAAAAGCCCCGAGGCAAAACACAGATGAACAGAAACAGGTTAAATGAAGTCAAGCCCAAGCTAAGGTCGGGAAATTCTGTGTGTATTTATTTGGGAGCTGGGTGGTGACCCCCAAAGAGCAAAAGAGTCAACGAGTAGAAAAATCAAGAACATAAGGTGTATTCTGCATGTTATACTTCATTTTATTTGTGAAGCAAGTACTATTTAAAACTAAAAGATGGACAACTCAAGTGTAAGATATCAAAGAAACTGATAAATAAATCAGGGTTAAAAAGGTAGAGAAGAGACCTCCATGGAAATCCTTAGCAAGCATGGGACTGACTTCCAGCCACATTCCTTCCTCTTTTCTCCTGTCCCTGTGTCGGAGCCCCAGGCATTGTTTTCAGTGTTCTGCACCTACGTCTGCAGACTTGGTTATCATGTGTTCTCTTTTCTCTCCACTGTTTTTTGGTTGTCTGGAGCCTTCCCTGCTAATTCTCCCTCATCCTCGATTGGCTATCCTCCACCAGGTGCCCTCCTGAGTACAGGCTCAATCCGGAATGAAGCTCCTCTTCTGAGTACTCACAGACAATGTTATCTTGGTAGAGAATAAAGATGCTTGACTGCTTGAAGACAGGAATTATGTCTAGATTATTCCATACTGTGATGTCTACAACCTAGTAAAAATCAAGTTCATAAAATCTCACAAATAGCAATTACAATTATTTGCTTACAGGTATGTGTAAAAAAAAAATAAGGAGGGCCTAAGATTTTTGTGTGTGTACATAATTTGACAAAGGAAAAAATGTAGATGAAATCCTGGCATGCTGTATGAAGCTGTGTGGCAGAACATTTCTCCTTAACACTGGGACCCCTTCTTCCCTACCCTGCCTCTTCAATACTTGAACAATATAATCTATCTCTCTACATTTCAGTGTTAAGTACACTGTACTAATGCTAAAAATACCACACACAATTCCTTTATTGTGGAAGTAAAGAGAGGCTAGCTATAATAGGATCTTCATATCAACAATCTTGAACTGAAATCTGTTTCACATTACACTATTTAATATGAAATGCTTCAAGTCTGGAGACAGGAATAGAAAATAGCAACCATCCATGCACCCATTATTCTACTTTATCAAATCATAACATTTTGTCATATTTTACTTCATACTTTTACAAAATAAAACATCTTTAACACAGATGAAGGCAGTTTCCCACACCCTCCCATTACTATTTCTTACAGCCTAGAAAAGCGTAAGTCTGACATCAATGTGCAAATTTAAATAATGTATGCCATATAAAGAATGTAGAGGGCTAGTTAGTGGCTTCTTAAATGTTATATGAATTATGCATCTGATGATATGGAAGTAAAGATATTCCCATAAACCTTGTTAAAACAGAGTAGCAGAGTCTTACTAAATTACAACAGGAGTCATTTTAAACACACACTGGAGTTCATGTATAAATGGGAGTCTGGAGGAAAGAAAGCATACAGGTCAACCAAGATCAGGGAGCTCTGAGATCCAGCTGGGGATGAGGACTGTGGCTCCCACTGCAGGGAGCATCAACAATATTTTCCCCCTTGGAAGAAGATTCAAAGATAAGTATACAGTGAGAGCCAAAATCTGAACAATATTATTTTTCCTATAGAAACTCACATTAATATTTCTGCTCTCGATTGTAGTAGTCAGTATATCAAATTATGATTGTACCAGGGGATACTCCACATTGTGAAGAATCTTGTCCATGTGATATAATAATACAGAAACAAAACCAAACTAACCTGCTAACAAGCTAGTCCACCATCACTGTTCCTTCTCTAGCTAATTCCATTCTATATCTTCCATATCTCAGGTTGAAAGAACCAAGAAGTCCACAGGCTCCCTCTCATCCACCTATAACTTAGACAAAAACCTTAGACACAGCCTCAATGACGTGCTGCACAGTGTTAGTAACTTTTGAATTATTAAGCCTTGAGACAAAAAGATATCTGAGTACTTACCGTCTCCAAAAAGATGTGTCATAAGCCTTGTCAGTACTTGTTTAAGGTCAAACTCCACAAGCTTCACAGCCTCCATGGTGTGTGTCTCTTGCTTATGAGCAGAGCGAGAACTTTCTTCAAAGAGCTCCAAGCTTTCTCCATCCTTTACGCCAGCAAATAACTGTAAACCAAAAGGAATAATGACATATGTTTAAAAACAAAAACAAAGAAAAGGTCCTAGTCGGCCTCTGTCAAATAGCATAAAAATTCTGGGTATAAGAATTATATCTTACCAAAAATAATTTTTAATTAAAATTTAAAAATAATTAAATTTTATAGTTAATATGCACATTGAAATTAACAGCACTTTGTACTAACTAGCCAAGCTCTGAGTTACCCAGTGTGGAGGGTCTCTGAGGAATTAAAAGACATTCCTCAGATCTTTGCTGATCTGTTTTACATTTGCCTGAATTTACAGTCATTTCCTTACAAGAGACATTATCCTCAATTTTAATGGAAATGCCAAGCTTTAGACTCTAAAATAGTATCCCTAAGTGTCCCACAGGATCTTCCCAATGTGATCTAAGACTAAGGAAGAAAGTACAGTTTAAGAATTAAATCCTATAAAGACAGGAAGCCGGCTGGAGTTTTAATACTCTATTTCTAAAACCCATTTCAGAGCTTCACACATATTTCCGTTGCATGCTATACACAGAAAGGGGCAATTAAATGACAGCTAAGCCTCAGCTCATGACACATAAAATGGGATCATGCTGAATTCACAGATTTATATGATAAGTAATATATGAAAATACAGAGTGCATGGCAAGTACAACTAAACAGAAGTTCCTTAGTATCATCATTAACCACAGCTGTCATTAATTACATGCTGCTTTTCCAATAAAATAAAATATCCGGGGCTGATGAGATGGTTCAGTCAGTAAGTGCTTGCCACATAACCATGAGGACCTAAATTCAAACCTAGCAACCACACGAGAAGCCAGGCACAGTGACATGCGTACCTGTGATCCCAGTGCCGAGGAAGCAGAAATAGGAAGCTCTCCGGAGATCACTAGGTAACCAGGCTAACCAAAGCAGTGAGCTTCAAATTCAGTTAAAGACCCTGTCTCAAAAGCTAAAGTGGAGAGTAATACAGGAAGTCATTTGATATCCACCCCTGGCCTGTGTGTGTACACACATGTATAGACACAGGCATACAGCCACGCCCACACATGAACATATCCAACCGTGGTGACAGAGCAGATCAACATTACCTATAAGGAGAATAAAAGAAAAATAAAGCCAGGCGATGGTGGCACACGCCTTTAATCACAGCATTTGGGAGGCAGAGGCAAGTGGATCGCTGTGAGTTCAAGGCCAGCCTCGTCTACAGAGCAAGTTTCAGAACAGTCAGGGCTATACAGAGAAACCATACCTCAAAAAAAAAAAAAAAAAGAGAGAGAGAGAGAGAGAGAGAAATGAGCAAATGGCCATCATTGTTTAAACCTGAGCCCCATGGGCAACAATTAATGTTTTACTAAACAAAGGGTTGTCGGTTTTAGTAAAGTTATATTGGATGATTAGAAAAATCTTCATAAAAAATTTTGCTAAAGGCACAAAGAAAGTAACAAAGTAGATAGGAATTACGAAGTAAATAAAACTCTACCAAATAGCATGAAACCAGCAAAACATGGGGAAAAACTCCCTAAGAATGCCTGCCTTCCTAGCACACTAAGGAAAAGCTGAGTGTGTGAGTGACAGCTTAGCACAGTTAGCAAGACAAAAGTGCAAGAAGCCCAGTAGCTGACCAGGCCAGAATGTCAGCTGAACATCACAGAAAGACTCATTCCCCACTGCACCCCACCCCACCCCACCTCCAAGGACCAAATCTATGTAAAACACATACGACAAAACCTCCAGTCAAGTGCCACACCTCCTAGGCAAAAGGGGAGCTCCAACTGTGATCAAAAAACCAAGGAAGTCAAGACTGAGCTTTCCTCTAGATGCTCATAAGGTCATTTCAGAAGATCTCACTACCCTGGGCCTTAAGTGACTCCCGTGAGTGCTGAAAATAACCCACCTGTGTACAATTAATACAATTCAAGTTTTAGGACTCAAGCCTAAGAAACGATACTGCCCACTATTAAGCTGGGTCCTCCTACATTAATTAATGTAAAGAAGACAATGCCCTACAGACATCTTCACAGGCCAACTTAACCCTGAAAAAGCCCTCACTTAGATTCTCTTCCAGGTGATTCTATACTGAGTGAAGTAGTGGACAAAACTAGCCATCATATTTGTGCATCATATCTGGCATTTTTGAGAATTCAAAATATTAAACATAAAAAGTTTTGTGCTGGAGAAATATTTGAATAAACTGTGCAATCTAAGTGAGCACTATTTAAGTGCAAAAGAGAATGCAGAAGCCCTCCCTAACTGCAAGAAAGGATTTCCAACACGCAAAAAAAAAGTGAAAAAGAGCCGAGTACAAAGGAGCAAATGCGGGCATTCCTGTAATCTGCAGGAGGACACAAAGACAGTCTTCAGGTACTTGCAAAGGAATAACTAAAGGATAAACCACACTGAAGAGTGACTGGCCAGGGCTAGGTGAGCAGAAACAAAGGATAAGCAGGTGAGTGGGGATCCGGTGTGAGGATGGGCAGGGCACAAACAGTGGTGATTCTCTAGGTAAAACTTTTACACAAAAGTTCTGGATTTGAGAATCAAGTTAATATTTAATCCACTCGAAACATGACAAAGAAAACCAACAGAGGGGTGGAGAACACCAAATGTGCTTTCATTTGACTGGCACAGTCACACAGAGGAGAGAAGAGCACTGGCCACAGTAAATCTTAAAAACAGTATATAAGTCACTGTATAAGGTTAAAAATGTAATTATGGGGACATTTGTGGTACACAAGACAGCCATTTTCTCAACAAGACTATACGGTAACAATTCTGAAAGCACTTGAAGTTCCCTCTATGGCTTGTTGTGTATTAAATGCATTACTGGTAAGAAGAACAAGACCCTAAGTTACTGGCAAGGGCTATGGAGAGGGCCACAAAGAGCCCTTTGGTGCTGGCTTGGAACTGAAGGTATCCACAAATTCAACACCTGTACAGATACATGGTAATACAGAAACAGATGTATATAGATTTCCTGGCTGTGTCTAAGAAGGCCTAGACAAAATGCATTGACTATAACAATAAACATACTCAGGTCTGGGTTTCTAGATACCATTCTTTTATAAAGGAGAAGTCCCTAGAGAAATAACTGATTTTAAAAGATGAATACCCTGTTGAACACAAAGTAACAAGAGTCCAGGGCACAGATGACTACCACAGGGGCTCTGCATGGCCAAATTCAGATCCAACTTAACAATACATAAATAAGTTGAACATAGACTATACCACAGATATAGAAACAAATATACAGAAAGCCATGAAAATATTAAATATTGAATAAATATGTACAGAGAATAAAATTCTAATGAATGCATTTAGAAGAAGAAAGTTGGCCAAAAAAACATTAATTCAGAAGATGACCAGTGGATTCTAAAGTTAGTAGGAGAAAATATGAGAAACAGGATATTTACAGTGGTAAAGTAGATTCCACAGAAACTTCCTAATTATGTCAGAAAATTTTAACAACAGAGACACATACTATCTTTATGAAGTAATCGATCCCGGGGTAACAAAAGATGGAAACATCAACGACCTATCATCTCTCAAAAACAATGTACTGACAAAGAAAATTTCTCCCCTTTTGCCAAAAATATATAACCCAAATCTGATCATGAGAAGATACAATGTCCAAACCATCCTATGAAAAATTTGACAAATACTATGAAGAGTGTCAAGTCACCCAAGACCAGTGGTTCTCAACCTGTGGTCACAACCTCTGGAGAGATTGAACAACCCCTTCACAGGGATCACCTAAGACCATCAGAAAACACAGACACTTACATTATGATTTGTAACAGTAGCAAAATTACAGTTATGAAGTAGCAACAAAAATAATTTTATGGTTGGGGGGGTCACCACCACATGAGGAACTGTATTAAAGGATTGCAGCATAAGGAAGGTTGAGAACCACTGCTCTAGACAAAGAAAGACTGAAAACTGTCGTAGTTTAAGGAAGGTGATGAGGACACGTCCACTACACAGCGTATCATTCTGGATGAAATTTTGACTCAAATCGGAGGAAAGGTTGTAATTCCTGCAAATATGTCTGCATATTCTATTGAATTCTTCAGAGCTGCATGATTTTTATTGTTCGTGTTGTTGCTGCTGCTGTTTGTTTCATTTTGTGTGTATGTGTTTTTAATAAAGGCTAATTTTAAAAAGCAGTTTTAGGTTGACAGTAAAAGTGAGAGGAAGGTAGAGCTGTCAAAATGCTGTCTATCATCCCCTCCACACATACACACACTTCCTGTCTACCAAACATACACATACACTTCCCATACTAACAACATCCCCACCAGACACTACACCTTATGTGACTAATGGACACACACTGACATATTAGCAGACAGCCACAGTCTTTAGTGTACATTAGCTGTGATCACTGCAGCAGAGTTTGCATTAGGGATCACTACTAGAGCAATGTGTTCTATGGTTTTCGTAGATGTACAAAGATGTAGCCACTATTTAACACCATACAAAACAGTTTCATTACTCTAAATGCTACTTGTGCTCTGCCAATTTATCTGTCTCTCCCCAGCAGCCCCTGTTGTCCACTGATCTTTTCACTTCAATCTAAAGTTTCATCTTTTCCAAAATATCATAATTGGAAGTATGGAATATCCAGACTTTTCCAATTGGCACCTTTCACTGAGCCATATGCACTTAATTTTTCTTTCTTTCTTTTTTTTTAAAGATTTATTTATTTATTTATAATGTATAGTGTTCTGTCTGCACATATCCCTGCAGGCCAGAAGAGGGCGCCAGATCTCATTACAGATAGTTGTGAGCCACCATGTGGTTGCTGGAAATTGAACTCAGGACCTTTGGAAGAACAAGCAGTGCTCCCAACCTCTGAGCCATCTCTCCAGCCCTTAATTTTTCTTTATATCTTCTCTTGGTTGATAGCTCATGTATGATTGTTTTGAATAAAACATTTTTACTATTTATACAATTTTAAGATTTGATTTTTAAAATATTTTATAGTCTACACCTTAG